TATCAAATATTTTATGCTAACTATAAAATGAATACTGAAGTCCTCTGAGGGCATATAGTCAGTAACTCTTTTGCAAGAGGTTTGCAAAAGTGCATCAACGGTCAGAAGTATTTTGAAATATTTTTAAGATTCCCATCTCCTTCCCTTTCAGCAGCATAATGGAAGCAGCACCGGTGCCTCCAGCCTTCGTGGCAGTGGCCTGATGCTCCGCAAGAGACGACCCAACTGGATCGATGCTCCCGATGACAGCTTCTTCCTGGTTTCCCGAGAGACGAGGTGTGCAAACTGACCTCACTATCCATTTTGTCAGTATTTCCCATGGCATCACACTGCTCAAAAACCCAAACTTGTCATGCCTTGTTCACTAAGGGACACTGAAATACACTTTTGTGCACACTCGTTTGGTTAGCTTATTCGGTTAGGTCTGTACATAGCCTAGAGACAAATTTAATAGAAAACAGCAGGGCAGACACACTCCATGTCAAAAAGCAGTCCTTACCTTGTTCTTCCATGATTGGCATCTGCAGAGATTATCCCCTGAGATGGCATGCCACATCTGATTAAGTTTCCATCATTTTGATTCAACCTTCACCTAAGAGTGACTGATCTTGGTGACAGGATTGGCACATGTGTAATTACTGCATTGGTCATACCCAGTGACAGTAGCGGGGTAAGAGGGTCTAAGCCGGAGTTGTCAGTGTAGGAAATGGGCGAGTCAATCTCGGATGTCAGGGACAATTTTTCAATAACAAAGATCCTATAATTAACAATACCCATGATCCCATTAATCTGTGGTGGCATGGAGAGACAACTGAAAAATAATGATTTTTGATGCAGATTGAGATTAGTTTTAATTCAGAGAGATGAGACTCCACAGGTAACTTAACACTACACTAACACATACACTACCAGTCAAAAGTTTTGAACACACATCTTTTTGAGATTTGTAGGATTCTCATGATCCTAAAACCTGTTATGCCTAAATGCTTGGAAATAGCTTTTTAGACAAATTGATTGCATTTTTTTTGTTTACATTAATTTTACATTATATAAAATATATTATTTGTTTATTGTTTATTACATAAATCACATACTTCCATTAGTTATTTCAGTTATGCTAACTTTGTTAGATTTTTTAAATCTTGTTTTATTTATTTATATATGTGTTTATTTATTGTTTTGTTTTATTTGAGTTTTATTTAGTTTAGTTTTGTTTTTAGTTTAATTTGTAAAAAAAAAAAAAAAAAAAAGAGTAGTTGTGTCCAAACTTTTGATCGCCAGTGTACTTGTCTCACTACCTTGCAGAGTTATGCAGACCTTTGTGAATGCACTTTTTTATTTCCTTATATCAATGTAGAGTCATAGCAACATTTATCAGTAGAATTGTTCGGCAGTGCTATTTAGACTGGAGATGGTCTCCACAGCCATCCTCCATCATTTTGCAGTAATATGATGAAAAGATTAACTTGTTATTTGCTGTTAATTCTCAGTCAACTGAAATGCAATATGAAAGGATTAGGAGCTGCAGACATTAATGGCTCACTTTACCAAATATGTAAAACTGCATGAATTTAACACATCCACAATGCTAATGAAATCCCTGTTTGCAGTTGGAGTTTAATGTACAGACTGGATGTGAAATGTTTCTTAAATTCTAGTTAGATTCAAATTACGCTAAAGTTCAAATGAATTGCAAATGAAGATGTTATTTTGAGCAGGGGGAATTGGACACATGGTTTGCCCTGTTGTTTCATGGATCAAAATGTTTTTGACTATTTTTAGTGACTCTTTGCTTGTCTCGTTTTGTTGCTGCAGCTGTTAGACACCTGAACATGGTAAGATCGCACGCACCGTACACAAAGCCTAAACCACATTACCTGTGGAGTCTTGCTAAATGTATGAAATGTATGACCGAAAGAGACACTCGATTAACACCTTTCTGGTGGCTTTTGACACCTCAACCCGCAAAATGTGTTTTTATGCTTAATGTAGATCCGACAGACAGAAGTCAGATAGTCATAATAGTTCACCCAAAGCAGCAAGGGGTTTGATTTTAATATCTTTGGCATTGAGATGTAGGTGTGAGCTGGAGCTCGAAGAAAAATGCCTCTCCACTACAGCCACATCCATATGAGCCATGACTTGCACAGCTCCCTATGGCCTCCAGCACTGGAGCGGATGCTAGGCTAAATTTAGCGCCCCTGCTCTGAAAGATTAGCCTTCAACTAGGCAGGAGACCCAGAGACAAATGGGATCTGGACTGGGGCTCGGCCTGGTTCTCTAACAGGTTTACACCAGACTGTCGGGAGTCTCTCTGGCTGAAATGGTACTCTGATGCTTGAATTGATGTTAAAATAGATAGTAAAAACATTACATTTGAATGTTTCTCATTCTGGAGTATTTGTAGCGTTAAAGGTTTGCTGTTGCTTTGCAAAAGAACTAATCAAATCCATTAGTGGAAACGCATGCACCTAATCATAGTTATATCAAGGCTCTGTGGTGGTAATGAATGAATATGTGTATTTGTGTTAATGCTGTGTGATTTATAATGTAAACACATGTGCTATAAATGCAAGCACACATACACAGTACATTCTAGAATATCATCATGCATTTGTTGTTCGAGACTCAGTTAACGTTTCTTTCATTACGGCCAATCTAATCTAAGGGCTGTCCCCTGTGGATGCCTGTCGGCCTCATTCATTTTGCTTAAACATTACACCCAGGCAATTCTTTCATTTCTCTTTGGTATATGGACCTGATCATGAGTAGAACATTATTTATGTCACTAAGCCATGTTGATTCATGTTATTTTGCTTAATGATTACAATCTGTTGCATCTGCAACATGCCGAGGTAAACACAATTGTACTATGTGGTGCGCACAGGAAAACCAAAGCTGTACAGTTTCAATTACATTTTCTTTCTTGATATTTTATAAGCAAGTAATTGTGATCATTCTCCCCTCAGATTGCAGAGCTTGCAAAATATGTTAAAGCGTGTTAGTTGTTCTTGTGTTTTTCCCGTCACAGTATTTTATAAATAGTTTTACTTTAATATTTTACAATATATATTGAATCCCATATATATTTAAAATATTTAATAATTAATACACTACTGTTGAAAAGTTTGGCTTGGTGAGATTTTGAAGAGTTGTTGAAAGAAGTCTCTTATGCCCACTGAGGCTGCATTTGATCAAAAATACAGTAATATTGTGAAATATTACAATTTAAGACAAATGTTTTTTTTCCCCTATAAAATGTAATTTATTCCTGTGATGGCAAAACTCAATTTTCAGGATCATTAATCCAGTCTTCAGTGTTACATGATCCTTCAGAAATCATTCTAATATGCTGTTTTGCTGCTCTGTTTTATAAATGTTGATGATAAAACATTATTTAACAAATTTTTTAAAAATACCGTAAACTACCAGGTGTGTTAAATTAGCTTTCAGGGATAATAAGAAGACATTTTTTCTTATATCTTGCATGGTTAAATCAATTATAGTAAAAATACATACATTTATCCAGTTCAGTCACAAATCATACCTAAAAAAATTTACCTATTGTGTATTGTTAAATGTAAGTTTTGAAAGATTACATTCTTAAAGACAATGATATGTTGTGTTTTATCTTCCTGTTCCTTTCAGGAAAGCCAGAAGGCTGCTCTCCCGTTCACAGTTAAGAAGAGCGTGTAGACAACCATGCGAGCAGATCAGCCTGCGTAGGGTCCCCCAGGGGCCAGCGCAGGTGCCTATCCTGGCACCCCCTCACCCCAGTTTACGGATGCGAGGCCCAATCGTCATCCACGACTGACCCTCATCTGCATTGTTCCCTCAGCCTGTTAGCCTGTTCTGTCAGTTTCTCATTTGCTGCCTAACTCCGCACTGCACAGGCCACAAGCCACTAAAACACTCCTTATTCCTCATATTCTACTTCTTCTTGAACTTTCGCTTCCTCTTCAGGACAAAAGGCTCACAATAATAAAGCATTTAGCTAATAACTAAAGCAACTTATAACATTACCTCTAAGCACTTGTTTGATGAGAATCTATGGCTTTGGGAACTAAACTTACAGGGTTCCAAGTGGCTATGCCACAAATGTGTATCATGTACAGATCAATGCTGACCACTCAACAGACCCTTTTGGGACGTGTTAGTGTGCTCTTTGTAAATTCAGTTAGCTCTGCACTGAATGGTTTCTTTTATTTCTCTGTATCCTCTGTGCGTTTCATGACAAGTACAAGTTTGTGAGCTGTTTTTATATTGTATTCAAGCGAGGACTGGATTGTATGTTGAGTAACTGGCTATTAGGTGGTCTTAACTGAGAGCATGTTCAATAGATTCTTTTAACTGGAGATGTTGTAATGATTTGTGGAAGTCAAAGCAGCCTTTGCAACTCTTAAATATTCATTCAGGACTTTAAGGTTCTGTTCCCCTGGACATTGAAGACTCTTTCAGATGCCAGTAATACCCTTTGGATGTTTTTAAGGAAGAAAATCATTGGCTTTTTTAACTTCAAAGGGCAATGTGACAGCATGTGACAGTGAAACAATAAGCTGTTTTGTTTTCTATGCCTCATACATTTCTGTTGTATTTCATTGTGTCACACATTTACTGAAAAATGCTAAATAAAAAAGCGCAGTACAGACTGTGTATCTGTGTAATAATATGAAAAGCAATTGATAATGCATGTTGGTTATAAATACAGGCAGACAACAAACTAGAAAGGCATACAGTATAACATATAGAACTTATTGTGCAAAATAATAATGAATTAGGTCACTGTTAGGTTAAATGGAAAGTTCACATAAAAATTCCTTTTCATTTTCTCACCCTCATGTTTTTCCAAACCTGTAGGACTTTTGTAAAACACAAAGGAAGATATTCAGAAAAAAAGTTGAAACATTCTTCAAAGTATTATCTTAAGTGTAAGAAAGAAAGTCATACAGGTTTGGAATGACATGAGGAGGAGTAAATAATAAATGCATTTTCATTTCCCCCCAACACATTGATTGTAAGCAACAACAGTTTACCAGGTAGATTAACATTTTCTGTTCGTTTTCGCACTCATCTTGAACTTTGTCAGCCCCAGTGAGTTGGTTGTGCCCTTCAGGGTGTCACGGTACCAAGCGTTTATGTGGCAGTAGATTACTGGATCCAGTGCACTGTTCATGTAGGTTAAAGCTAAAGAGGCATGAAAACACACCATGAGGAATTCCGAACAGGGAAACACTTGAAGGAAGATGCCAAAAGTGACTGTAGGCAGGAAACACAGAACAAACATGATCACAAGAAACAGAAGCAATCTCACTGCTCGCTTCAGCCTGCGGTGAGCCCCCTGGCGACTGTGGACATGAGAGAAAACCCTCACAAAACAGAAGACCACCAGTGCAAATGCTAGCAGGACCTCTATCAGCTGTACTGAATTATATATCTTCATTTGAACCGATGGCCATGTCCATGAGAAAAAACTATGGCATATGAGATTTGATGAGTTTTTCTGTGGTGTGAGAACCAGGTTCAGGGCGGGTGAAAGACGAAGGAGTAGAACACCTATCCAAACCATGCTAACCAACATCATTGCTTGTCTCACACTCATTCGACAAATGCGATGGTGTGGGTGAAGAATCCTGAGGAATCTGTCCACGGCCAAAATTGACATGAAAGCCATGCTTGCTGAGTGGTTTACTGATATGATATATAAAATGAGGCAGCAAAAGGATTCGGCAAATATCCAGTCTTCACCACGAAAGAGATAATCTATGTGGAAAGGCAGCCCAGTGAGGAGTAGGAGGTCAGAAATCACCAGGCAGAAGAGATACACATTGCAGGCTTTCCATGGAGACTTGAAGAACAAAATCCACAGAGCAAAGACATTTCCAGGCAACCCAAAGATGAACTCCACAATGAGAATGGGCTTTAAAATGGAAGAAACAAGGGTCTGAGGTTCAGTGCAGGAGGTGATGTTACTCATGATGAAAAGCAAACCTAAAAGTAAATTAATATTGTGTTAACATAATGTTAATAACTATAAAACACTGAGAAAACTCCAGATATACTTTAAGATAGGCTGTGCAATACAATGTTCTCCAATTCTGTTCAGTTAATGGTGAATTAGTGGAATAAACACGCCAAATTATCTTAATCCTATATATCTCTGGCAAAAGAATAAAGAAAATACAATTAAGATTAAATGACTTTTTAGACTTACCAAACGATCAAGGCAGGAGTTCTCGTTATCGTGAAAGTTAGAGAACAATTTTACAAGTTGCAGTAAGTTTTTGGGAAACGATACCACTGTGGGCGGAGTCGAGGAAGATCAAATGATCTTTATCTTTGCTAACTGTTCATTTTATTTAGATCTCAAATCAGTCACTACATATGCGGTGAACGCTAGGCCTATGCTGGAAAAATTAGCCTACATAAATCGAAAGAAGAGTCGAGATAAATTGTTGAAATGTGATGTCACTTCAGGGCATTGATGTAACTTACCTACTTGAAAAACCATATTGGGAAACAACTGCGATGCTGTAAGAATCGATATTTTATATTATATTTTAAAGTGTAAAAACTAGTTTATTTTAAAGTGTAAAATCAATAAAAGCCAAGCAGGATGTGTGTTTTTACAAACGGCTATGTTCGACTTTTATTCGGACAGTTTGTATAACGTTACAGTCTCTTTTGCTCTAAAATAAGTAATGGCTCTTGTCCACACTCATGACCCGTGTTATTGCAGTGAGCCGCCGAAGCTCCAGTGGTGCAATCGGTTAGCGCGCGGTACTTATACAGCAGTACAAAGCAGAGCAATGCCTGGAGCAGAGTTTTGCACGATGCAAATATAGGGGTGTCTCTGTAAAATCGCTTAAGGATACTAGACTGTCCCAGATGATCACTTAACTAAGCATACAATGAAAACAGGTCCATAACTCACACTGCTACGTAAGGCGATTTCAGTGTTATTGAGCAGTAAACGTGTGGGCATACAACGGAAGTGCGTTGTGTGTGAACTAACAACGTGGTTGGATTGTCGCAATGTATTTTACGTCTGCGTCTATGGCGGCCAGTTGCCTGTAGGAGGCAGCATTGCATAAGTTTCAGCAAAGCAGTACGATCTTGAGACAATTCGCCACGTGTTTAAACCGCAACGCTCTGGAACTTTATTTACCCTGAGGTGTGTGATGTGAGGGGTGTGTTCAGGAAGGGTCATTCTAAATATACAGTTCAGAAATGTACAGCAGAAAATGCTTCATGTGTTTATTGACAGTTTTTGCCATTGTCATCCATGATTATTTTACTTTACATTATTGTCTTTTTAAAAGTCGTTGTCTATTTTTCTTCACAGGGTTTAGAGGTCTGTGTTGGATGTTGAATTATATTAGTCATCCAGAAACATATCTCATCATAGCAATGATTTCATATGTTTCTATTTAAATGTATGTTCTTGGCCTGCATTTACATGTAAACATCACATTTACATATAAGCAGCACAGACTTGTCAAATCTTTTGGTCTGATCAGATTTCATCTAAGCTCTACCACTGCCAAAAGTGTCATGTCAAAATCCCACAAAACAACCACTTTTGATTCTTGATCGAGAAATAGTCCTAGAGCAGAATTCTGAAATGAATTCTTTCGCATTTTGTGATTACGGACTCTTTAAATCAATTTATTGGGGAATTGATAGCTAAAGCTGAAGGGATCTATCTATCTATCTATCTATCTATCTATCTATCTATCTAATTATTTTTTAAATACACCGTAAACATGTTTGTATTTATCATTAGTCAATCCAATTAGTTTCAATCTTATACTTTTATGTTGTTCAACAGTTAGCCATATTTTAAACATGCTCATACTTTTTAACTGAATAAATGTACAGATGCAAATAGTTAATAATTAAGTATGCCATCATTTTTTGAGTACAGAAATCTTACAGATTTAATGTAGGCCTTTGTGTGGCTGACAAATATGCATCACATTACGTTTATCAGTTTGTTTATGTTATAACCAAATGGATCAAAATTTTATATGCAATTCAAATACATAAACCTTAAATTTAGGCCTAAATCAATCAATCAATCAATCAACCAACCTATCTATCTATCTATCTATCTATCTATCTATCTATCTATCTATCCAGTAACCAACTACTCATTATATCATATGAGAGAAACCCTGAAATCAATAGGGAAAAGGAAAAAAGAAAATCTCCCTCCTCTGCCTTTATGCACAGAATTAATGACAATCTTTAACTTCTCAAGTTTTATTTTGTTGCCTTGTCACGGCTCATGGATTACCATTAAAACACAGTCAGCACGAGTGCTTGTGTATGAGTGCAAACTTGTGCTTGTATGTGTGCGAGTATGTGTTTGAGTGAACAGGTTGAGTAATCAGTGGTTAAAGAAAGGAGAACTTTGTGGGAACCAAATTTGAAAAATAGGTTTAGGCACATTTTTGGGAGAGAAGAAATGAAAGAAAGTAGATAGAGGAAGCAAGATAATAGAGAGAAGAACACACACACACACACAGGTTTGTTTTTGTGAAAAGTGGGGACATCCCATAGGCGTAATGGTTTTTCTACTGTACAGACCGTATATTCTATTGCCCTACACCAACCCTACCCCTAAACCTACCCCTCACAGGAAACTTTGTGCTATTTCAGATTTTCAATACACTCCATTCTGTGTGATTTATAAGCGTTTTGAAAAGTGGGGACATGGGGTAATGTCCTGAAAAGTCACCTTCTCCTTGTAATACCTATGTCATACCTTTGTCATTATACAAATTTATGTCCTCATTTGTCACAAAAACGCGCACACACACACACACACACACACACACAAAAGGAGACTGAGTGGATTGTCTGGATCAGATTTCTGTGGTAATGGTTGGGTGGGTCATTGGTTAAACTGCTCTCACAAACACATTCCAGAGCTGAGGCAGAGCGCATCTGGTGTGCAAGTGTAGACAAGCAGAGCCAAGAGCTTCCTCACAGCACCTCTCTTTCTACCTCCCTTTCTCTCTCTCCCTCTCGGGCTCCATTTCCACATCGTTCTTTTTCCATGAATTCTTTAACACCATGGTTAACCCGCATGTTCTGTTTGAGAGCTCAAAGACCCCAGGGCCATTTTAATAGCTAAAAAACATACTTAACATAAAGTATCAGGTTGACATTCCCTAATGTTATTGGAATTGATTTGAAACAGAATTAATAGCCTGCTTCAAATGGCCTCCTTTAACAAAATGCTACATTTAAACACAAGCACAATCAGCATCACAAGAACCAATACCAGACTGAAAAGTTTGTTTTCAGTAAAACAAATAATAAAATAAAAAATGTTTAAATATAAAATAATACAAACTAAATATTGTTTATTTTTAAATAATATTATACATTTTTATTTATTTATTTATTTAGTCATTTAGCAGACGCTTTTATCCAAAGCGACTTACAAATGAGGACAACAGAAGCAAATTTCTCATAAATTTAACGCGTAAACAAACCTGCGTGGCCATATCAACCTGGGATTATGTATTTATTAATATTTGATTTTGAATTAAGAAATTTTAGATTAAAAAAAATATTACATTATTAAATTATTATATTAACACTAGAACTGCCACGGGGTCATTTTACCCATGGCTGTTTTTCAAATGTAGGCTACATAATATGTTTTCAATAAAGAATATCCAAGTCTCACAGTCATTGACTTTTACTAAAATTGTGTTATTTACAATCCCCTGTTGTTAAAAAAATTGTTTAGATAAAACCAGAATAAAAGCTGGGCATTTATACCTATAAGCGCCATCGAGTCAAATTTACGCATATAATTCCTTTATTGTCGCGCTGTCATTGAGCAACGTGGTAGCTTACTGCAAACAGTATATGCAAACAGTAACACAACGCACGTTCAAATTAAGATGTTTTAGCCAACTCATAAATGTTCAGACTTTGGATGAATTATTCATTTTTGTTTTGCAAATTTTTTTTGTCATTTAATGTTACATGCGTTCTTTTCGAACGCATTTTTTTTAATTTTTTTTTTACATTTTTAATTTAAAAAGGTGTTAAAACATGATGTTAAAGCAACTGTATGTAGTTCTGCGAATTTTTATGACATTGCCTCAGTTAAGTGAGTATAATCGCTGTCGTAAATATATCAGTTGTGATTACTATGAATTGCTGTACATGTATATTTGTTGCTGCTGTAAAGCAATCCCCTCTTTTTGTACCTGCTCACCAAACTTACGGGAGTGACAACCGCATTAACCAAACTCACACCCGTAGATTTTCAGGACTGACAACCGCATTCGGATTGATCGGATCCAGATTGGATACCGTGTGTTGCAAGTTCCCTTTTGTACGCTATGGGGAAACTCCTGTTTACTCTGAAAACTGAGGCCTGATTTGTTTACGTTCGTGTACCTGCATGAAACAAATGGTGCTTCAACCCACCAAAAGGGGTGGAGATCACTGCTATATAAGTCGGCTCTAAGTGCCATTTTGTCAGAATTTTTCTCCTTCAGCAGAAGACCATCTCCACGCTGGACTAGCAAGAAGCCAGTCAGAAGCAAGAATCTGCTTCAAAAGAAATGCAGGGAAGCCCCGCATGACATCACAATCGGCTTTATCCCCTTCGGCGGGTCTGAGGAGGAAGTTTGCACCAATGACTCTATGTCGCTGACAGGTGGCAGGGCTTATTCAGCGGCTGGCCAAGCTGGCTCAGCCTTTCACACAATGGCAGTGCTCCAAGTTTTTCTGGCCAAACTTCTCTGCATAATGGACGAGTCCATCCAGATGTTTGTCCAGCCATGCATGGTTTTGCCGAGCGGTTTACGTTAGAAGTCATTGCAAGCCATGCGTCACTTCCTGTTGAAGCACTCCAGTACGGCAGCTGTTACAAGTTGCCAGAAGGCTCCATCCACCCAGCAGTATGCGAAGCCCTTGCCGCCTCCGGCACAGCCCCAGCCTAAGTCTGAGCCTGGGCTTCAGCAGCGGCCTCAGATGGCTAAACTCTACCTGTTTCCTAAGCTCCAAGGTCCACAGCCCAGAGTGACATTGGACCCTGAGCCGCAGAAGCTGTCCTGATCCCAGCACAGAGAGGAAGCTGAGAGGGCCAGTTCCCAGAGAGGCCGGAATGCCCTCAAAGAAGCCTCACACTCACTCTCCATCCCACCGCTTAGCTCTGGGTGATGGAAGCTCTGTTGAGGCTGGGCCCATCCTACTCACTCAGCATGTGCCCAAGCAATCTACCGCTGTGATAGCGGACCCACATACTCAAAAGAGCACTTCTCCTCTTCTCATTACCATGAGTGTCAGTTCCCCACCTCCTTGCGGCGATCTGCCACTCGAAAGACTCGGACATCTTGCCACCCGGCTCTAGGCTCCAGTTCGCTCGCAGACCCCCTCATTTCAGAGGTGTCATCTAAACTTCGGTACGGGATAACAACTCTCATGTTCTCAAGGCTGAAAGCAAAGTCTGCTCGACAAAGGGGCTGCAGAGATGGTTCCTTTAGTGAACAACAAGTCAGGCTTTTACAGCCACTACTTCCTCGTTCCCAAGAAAGAGGTCCTTGATCTCCATCACCTGAACCGCACACTTATGAAACGGCCGTTCAGGATGTTGACTTTAAAACAGATCCTCGCGCAAGTATGCCCCGGAGACTGGTTTTTATCAATGGATCTGAAAGATGCCTATTTTCACATCCACATAGCCCCTCATCACAGACCGTTCTTGAGATTCACATTTGAGGGAGTGTCTTATCAATATACAGTCATGCCTTTCAGACTGTATCTGGCCCCATGTACTTTTACGAAGTGCGTAATCATGGCTCTTTCCCCTCTGAGACAGATGGGAATCCGCATTATGAACTACCTCGATGATTGGCTTGTGTTAGCCAGATCAGAGCAAGAACTTCTCGTTCACAGGTCACTGCTGCTCAGCCACCTGGAGCGTCTTGGGCTGAAAATCAATTTAGCTAAGAGCTCTCTGTCTCCCAGCCAGCGGGT